ACCGAACAAAATAAAAAAAACACACACACACACGCGCGCAGGAAACAAAATGAGACAAAAAATGGGGGGGAAAAAGGAATAAAAACAAACGTCGTTGACGAGAGGCCGACGACAGGTATTTTTAATTAAATTTAATACGGACGTTCTTCCGCCATTGCGCTTTGTTTATCGAAAATTCGTGATTGCGCGACAGTGAATCGCGTTCGTTGGTCGGGTTTTGAAATATTTCTTGAGGAAACGCGTGTCAACGATTTTATTAGGGAATATCGAGTAGGGAAATGTCAGCGCTAACCATGCCATCACATTTCCTACGATGATTAGTCAAATACGAAACAGAGATGCACAAATTAGATGATGAATGTTTCTTAGTGGAACCAGAAACAAAAGGAAGACATAGAAAACCCAATTGATCGTTCAATATAAGAATCATAGTGCTAATCAGAGGTTTGTAATAACATTTTGCAAACATTTATCACGAACATAGTCGATAGACCCCGGTTTTCATGGAAATTCGAAATTTCAAGGCTGTAATTAGAAAAATTAGATTGCAATGGTTAAACATTTGTCGACTTCGGCCATGATGTCGGCGTTTGAGGCCATGCGCGGAATCATAGTGCTAATCAGAGGTTTGTAATAACATTTTGCAAACATTCATTACGAACATAGTCGATAGACCCCGGTTTTCATGGAAATTCGAAATGTCAAGGCTGTAATTAGAGAAATAAGATTGCAATAGTCAAACATTTGTCGACTTTTGGCCATGATTTCGGCGTTTTAGGCCGTGTAGAACAACGGAATGCTGGGAAACGCGACGGAATCGAGGGCAGTGGACAACGATAATGGCTTTCGCGTTCGTGAGATCGCAGCGCCTGTGTGGTCTTAACTTTACAGCTCCATTAACCGAGCTTCTCCGGTAGCTCTCGATCGACGGCCAGCTTCTTCCGTTCGGCTCCTGTCACGTCCACGAAAATGCACGCCTCGCGAGTCCACGGACGAATGGCACGGAAGTGGATTTGGCGTTTATCGGTCGGTCTTGCTCCCTGCAGCTCTCCATCCCCTGGAAAACGAGTCTCGATGAATAAAAACGTTGCTCGGTCACGGGTCATTGGGTTCTCGATGGGAACAAGCCGGTTAACCCTTTGGCGCACTGTTTCCTTTGCTGTTCGCCGAGTGATGTATTCCTTTTATCGTTGAGAATTTAGGAAACACGATGGGATTTTGTGTTTGTGGATGGTGTAACTAAATAAGTGTGCATTTTATAGAAGGAAACCGGTTTGACACGTTACTTGTCATTGAAACTTTGTTTGAACAATGGTAAAGTTCTTTGGGGAATGGTTTCTAAATATTATAATTTTAATTTTATGGTTTTATTATATTTAATTTTATAATTCTATCATATTTGATTTTATAATTTTATTATATTTAATTTCATAATTCATTATATGCGTTGCAACAACAGAAACTTTTAAAAGTAGCCATGTATTTACTTAAATTAGTTTCAATTCATTTTGTGGATAAAATTAGTAAAAGGCACTTATAATTCAGTCGAATTAACACAAATAATTTTTTACGATCCTTTACACGAGTGGTTTGTTGTGCAAAGCGCGTGAATTCCCTTTTTGCAAATAGAGCGAATTAATTTCGAACGATAAAAAGGAGCGACAGCGGTCCTCAGGGGTCAAACGGTTAAGAAGCATCGTCGCACCGGACGTGGAAACATCGAGGAATTTCACGGGACCGCGAGCTGCAACGCACGAAACGCGAGACGCGCCCCGTAATTCCGTAAGTTATGACATTTCACGGAAGATCATGCGCATCTGGTGTAACTTATGCGAGCGGGGAGCCCGCCGTCGCTTCAATTCGCGTATTCGCGGAAAATTATACCAGCCAGATTCACGGGGCCTCTGGAATGTTGTATTATCCTAGCGCGCCGCGCCCGCTCTGCTATTTCCACGTTGACATTCCGCGAGAGGAAGCGGCGATGAAACGGAAACACGTCGTTTCTATCACGCGAAACGGAATTTTCGTTGATCCGCGATGAATCGTTCCCAGTGCCTGGCAACGGTTAACGCGTGATATGCTTCGCGGATAAAATGGCCGGCGAAATTTCGAAAATGCCGTGTTTCCTTTGATTCTTTTAAAGATTTTTGCATTTCCGCTTGTGTAATAGTGATGTGAATTCACGTTGAACGGTTCCGAATTGAGTGCAAAATGAAATTTAACCCTTTGCGGGCCCGTGTAACTTTGAAGTTACGTATTGGTATATTGGCGTCTTGTTGATTTCTTTCATTTTGCAGACAGTGATGGGTAAAATGGAGTAAATAAAACTAGGTAAATAAAACAAAGTAAATAAAATGAAGTAAATAAAACAAAGCAAATAAAACAAAGTAAATAAAATGAATAAAATAAAGTAAATAAAATGAATAAAATGAAGTAAATAAAATAAAGTAAATAAAATGAATAAAATAAAGTAAATAAAATGAATAAAAAGAAGTAAATAAAATGACGAATAAAATGAATAAAATGAAGTAACAGACTTCTAAACGCTCAGGCGTGAAAGTTTATCATTGTAGCTTGAAAGTTGCAAAATATATTCGTTCGATGAAATTATCGAAACTATTGAATACATTGTTAATTCATATCGATATGCGGATATCTGATTATGCTGTACTGCATCGATATCGTTATAATCATGAACAAAAATTCGGCCCATAGAGGGTTAACACGAGCTCGTACAATAGTGTATATTCGCGTCGACCATATCGAAATGAAATTCAAATCGCAACAGAACGCAAGATACTTCCTCCGATATCAATATTATCTCGTTATCTCCCGTGAACCAGTTCCCGTCGTACCACGCGCGCTCGGAACTATTCGACAGATACGATCTCCAATAATCTTCGAACTCTCGGACGGTTACACTTTCATTCCGATATCTTCATTACTTTCCACGGCGATCCTCGCGATTGCAATATCTTGATACGACGTAACATTCCGAGCGGAATGCCGAAGACGGTGAATTCGCGAGCGCGACATCGCGCGAAATAAGAATTAATGAAATATTGAAAATCCAGTGCTCGTTATATTAACCAGTCAACTGTGGCGTTTACTTGGAAAAATCTCTCGTTCTGCGCGCAGTAAAATCGAAGAATGTAGCGTGTACTCGTCGAACGCGGGACGAACGCGCGTAGAGTATATTTTAATGAGAGATCAAAGCGAAGTAAAGAAGAATTACATGTTTATGTGAAAATATAAAATTAGTGTCGTGTCAAGCTTTACTACGACGCGTATATTCGTCGAACACAGTTAACTGGTTAAGGAACTCCTTCTGTCGTAATTATATCCTCTTTGAAACTTGCACTCGATAATTCGCATAACGACGAGAATTCCAAAGCAAATGTTACAAATCTGAACGTTGCTTCCTTCATCCGAGTACAAATCAACCCTTTCTATAAATCGTGTCAGACTCGATAGAAATTTTCAACCGAATCTGACAAATTTAGCTGTTATTCGTTCATTTTTATTACGAATCGAATGTTACCTCTCTATCATCAATATCTAACCTTCACTCGTACCAATCGTTAACTCTCCAAGTGCTGTAATTAACACGTATGCCGCGGGGGTGACCTCAACCAAATCGAACTACTACAATTTCTTCAATCAAACGATGATTATTTAAAAACTTTTCTATATTACTAGTAGTACTACCCAATGCTAAGATGAATCTGCAATAATAATAACGCATTTCACATAATTTGATATTAGATTATTTTCACAATGAAACGTTCGGAAAAAATTCCTAGTTTTGTACATCTTTCTCAATAAAAGCGGCACTGAACGCGTTAAATTCTGTTCTCCCTAATAAACTATCAACGACGAGCTCAGTCGCGGAAGGATTCACAAGGCGAGGGGTTGAAGGTCGTCGCAAAGTAAATCCGAAAAACTCGGCGACCGTTTTCCGATTCCCGTTTCCGCCGTGACAATGGTGACACGCGAAAGAAAGGTAGGAAAGAACGGTCGGAAAAAGTGGGGGAGAGGGAAGAAAGAAAGAAAGAAAGCAGCGAGCTCGTAAATGGGCCAATAGGGGGAGGGAAGCCAGCTGAATGCGTTGTGTTGCAGCCCCGCCGCCCCTTGCCCGCGTCCCGCGAGCAACCCCGTTCGCTCCTCGAGCGCTAAACACCCTCGTATCTTCTCGCCCTTCTTCGCCCCTATGTAAACTTCAAAACAGCCGAACAACGTGCACCTCTCTGTTCGTTTTCGAACATTTGGGGGAGGACGCGGTGTACCGTTGCCCCGGGCAACCGGATGCAATCCCTTCTCGCTCGATCTGGTTCGTCCTCCGAAGATCGGGCGGATCGGTTTCAGCTGCGTTTCCGTCTCGGGAAGATGGGAAATGAAATAAAGTTGGCTCCAAGGTTATTCGGAACCTTGGATGTGGAGAGATTCGTTCGATGTTTTATAATTGCTCCTTTGATGAGTGGTTTGTAATGCTTGAGCGGTTGCGAGGTTGGAGGAGAAAGTAGGAATTCTGTATAGGGGATGAAGATTCAGGTGAAGTTTGATGATAATTATTGTTAGTATTGTTCACGTTGATTTATTAGAATTGCGTTAGATGTATTTGTAGTCAATGTAGAATTCTTTACCTTTTTATTCGACTTGTCAATGGCTTGGCTAATGTTGTTATTTTTCGATTATTCATTTGCGAGAGGTGACTCTCAGGCATCATTTGTTTTGATATATATATAATTAGAAAGTCTTACAATATTAAGCTTCGTGTAATAAATATGTGGAATATTGAAATAATTACATTGTTTCTTGACTTATGTATGTTCTATAAGTTCGTTTCTAATGAAAGATTTCCGAGTGCAAAGGGTTAATTGTGATAATGGTTTGACAATGTTTGAACAACAATTTAATTTATGTCTACGTGTGCCTATTATGAAACGTCAGAATTGATAAGGAACAAACATATAGTTTCAATCCGAAGGAATCGATTAAGATCGTTGCTTATTGAATTTTTCTTTAAAACCTTGGTTAATATTCTCAGAATTAATTGTCAACGAATTTGATGAAAATATCGTTGAAGATGAATTGACAGAAGGTATAGTCGCGAAAAAATGGTTGCGCCGTTGGCCTCGTAGTCTTCCTAGCAACCCGGTGCTACGCATCGGGTTGCACACGCGCGACCGGCTGAAACTTTGATCCCTTTAGTTGTCATTCGATTTTCGAGCGTCACCGTGGAAGAAAACACGAACGAAAACCAGCCGGCAGTCGGCTTCGCGCAGCTTATCGATTCGAATATTTGTCTGGGACGTGTGGCGTGCGGCGTGTTCCGATAGAAACGGGGAAACAAGAAATTTCACGCTGGATTCGGGAACTGGAAACATTGTTCTGTTAACAGTAGAACTACCAGATGGCTCAAAATGATGAATACCTCTTCGAAGAATCATTAAAGAAGCTGACTAAGTGATACCTAAGCTGAAATTTGAACCGATTCAAACCTTAACACGTTCCATACTTTCGTTTTCATTGCGATGCAAAATGATATGAATGCTGTGACATCGAAATTAATAAGTAACATTGTTATTAATTTCATTCTATAGCCTTAATTTTTGGAATTATTATGCACTTTAACCCTCGGAGTACGGCATTCGCATTTTTTTCTATTTTTACGGATCATTAAGATTTGTACTGTCCGCGAACGTGTTACTAAATTCACGTAGGTTTTGTAATGAAATTCTCAATAGTCAGTTTAAGGGGTTGGTTGTGTTAATGATGATTCTGTGCATGGTAGAAAAGAAAGTTTATTTAATAAATACGAATATTCTTGGATTCATGCGAATTCTTATGTTATCTCCTGTTTTTATTTCTTAATATGTCCCATTTCTGTTTCTTGATAGTTTCTCTTTCTATTTCCTGCTATTATGTTTCCATTTTCATTTATCGATGTTTTCTGCTTCTATTTCCTGCTATTACGTTCTCATTCTCATTTTTCGATGTTTTCTGCTTCTATATCGTACCATCGCATTTATATTTTCATGTCTCAATACTTTCTAC